CAACACATAGAGTCTCTGTTGTCACACACAGTGAGTCTGCAGCCATCAAAAGAAGCAAGAGTGAGCAGTACTGTTACCCACCGATCCAGCCAAGTCCATATTACCTGGCAATACAGATAGCATCTCTAGATTTCCTTTATTACTATAATACACCTAAGTATTCTTCAGCTAGATTCTTCTGTTTTGAAGAAGTACAATACACATCTCTTCCAGCTTCACAAGTAAGAAGAGATCCACAGGTCGATCAAATATTGACCCAAAATACTGATTTAAACACACACACATAAAATAATTTTCTTTCTTTGAATTTCACATAGGATGATTGATTCAGTCAGAATGGCTGTGAGCAAATCTCTCCAAACAGCGTTTATGTACTCAAAAGTTGGCTCAACCGTATTCTGTAACCTGTAAAACTGCTGAATATCAAAGATATTCTTGTGAGTGATTTGGTATCCCATATAAAAAACTCTAGGTTGTAACAAAAGGCACTACTTGTGTATGTCAAAAAGATCCCCTCTAATCTTGGTGTTCATGGGCTTATAACTAAAGTTGAGCATATGGGGTTTTTTTGCTGGTTAGGGACACATTCTGCACGGTGTCACCTGGTTTCTCCTCTGTGCCATCAGTAAACTAAAACAAGGAAACACGAAAACTGCTGGAAGCTCTATTGTACTGAGCTGTGTTTAGAGAGTAAGAAAGTTGCCATATATTTAGGTACACGAGGTCCTTCTTTGATAATATGCAATGTTCCATTGTTCAAACACCCGTTTCTGCTAAAAAAGTTTTTCACTAAGAACAATGGTATTAAAGATACCCCATTTTAATAAATATTTAAAATATGAGAGATATAAACTGAGACCTGTTGTCACAAGGTGCTCTCTCTGTCCTTGAACTTTTCACCCAATAGCACTGGAACGTGCTTTCAGGAGAACCAAGTGCCCTCTGGATTGACCTCTAATGTTTACTATTCAAAAATCCTTCCATAACGGAGCATACTCTTTCCAAACCACTGTCAAACTGCAGCACACTAACATTACTTACAGCACCATCTCTTCCCTACCACTTCTCTTTTCCCTCCTTCTTAGAGATTATCACCTATGTTGCTACTCCAGTTATGCCATTCCTTTTTAGTCATTTTCAGGTATTCCATCAGCTCACGCCAGTGTTTAACAATACTTCTAATCACGTTTGTTCCTTGAATGTATGTATAAAAAATTTTAGGAAAGCACCTGTATGGATGGATGCAGTCAAAGCCAAATTCATGTGAAGCCTATGCTCCTAACCTCAAGCCTATGATCCATCAAATGCAAGCTAACTCTGATTTAGAAGCTGTCTCAGTGGAGAACTGTGCTAAAGCTAACAAGTCCTGCTACTAATCACATGCTTAGTCCTTTTCTGTTTTAAAGAACTGTACTTTCTATATTTACCTCATAGAGGAAACACTGTCAAAAAAAAAGTGGTACTGGATTGGGAAACTGATTCTGAAGAAGCCAGATTACTGATTCCCATCACACCATTTATCTGCCTTATACATTTACACTGTAAGTTCTGCAAGGCAGGGAATCTCTCTTACAAACTGTTTGCAAAGAGCTTCTTCACACAAGAGCATTTTGAGTTCTCCAAAAAGGGCAAGCCTGTACTAATATAATACTGCTTCTATTACCAGTAGTAAATTTAAAATTGTTTGCATTGAGCAAAATTGTGTATCAATAAATATTACATATTTTGCTTCCAGAAGGCTTGTTAACTAATTTTGTCATTCTTGGAGGCAAGCACAATATTGTTGCAAGCAGTGATCTCCTGTTACAACACTTTGTTATTACTGATATGCAGCTACCTCCTCTTTATTCCTTTGGTGACTCTGTTATGGTTCTGTTCTTCTTTTGCCCTTATGGTTACCATGAGAAGATCTTACCACTGTACTCATATACTCATGACAGCCTTTTAAAAGAATTCCTATTTTGGGTATATATTAATTAATTACTTCTATTCATTCCAACTGTAATCAGCAGGGAGCTCTTCATCATTCTCTGGAATATTTAGCACCCTTAAAGTGACACCATTTGCTGTGCTTTTAGGAAGCAGCTTATTGCTCTAATTCCTTCTTATGAGATCCAAATTTTGCAGGTCTCATTCTTCATCCAGTCGTTACCAATCTTCCCTTACCATGGCCCTAATTTCACTACTTGCCCTTTAGTCACTAGCTAAGATACTGATCTCCCCTGTGCACAGTTGAATCAGTGTCTCATCTTCCTCTCTTTTTTCAAGGACAAAACGCTTATCTGAGGTACCAAATTAAATGTCTCCACATATATTTCACTTCCATCCTTCCTACAGTTTTTTTACTGTTGTTGTTGATATCAGATTACTTATTTAAGATCTCAACTTGGCACTTTCTCTCTTATAATAATTTCTCTTTAACGTTTGACCATTCCAGCTTCATTTCTTTTTTACAAGGTTCAGCTACCATGAAAGATTTTTCCTTCTCTCCAAACAGGAAAACAAATGCAGCTTTCACATTCTCAGTTAGGTTTTGTTTCAGCTGCCTGAGATCCTAAAGTAGCCGTCAAGCCAAATCTAGTTTTTTTCTGTGAGCTGTGAAACCAATGAAGTTTTCTATCCTGGAGTACTTCCTATATCCCTGCCCCATACTCCTGCAATTACTGCAGCTTTTCCCATGTCCTCTATAATCTATTATCTGTAATACTATCGGTTCTCCTTCCTGACCTCTAGATTCTCCCACAGTATCTTGGGCAAAGAAGTTCAAAAGTAATTTACGAAACATGGAAGGACAAAATGGTCTTACTAAAAATTCTATGTTACCATAAAATAAAATAACTTAAAAGCAGTTGAATACAAATCTACGATGTATTTTTCTTATTCTGCATGCAAATCCATAGGTCTAGAAAACAAGACGTAGTTAATTTGCTTGTATGTGATGTTAACTCTGAAATTACAGATGCAACATAAATGTCAGCAGTTAGTATTTCACTAGCACTCAAATTTTACTAGCATTCAGCTAGTAAAGCCCCTAAAAGCCTACCATACGAACTCAAACACCTCAAGCTCTCAACTCTTCTTCTTGTGCTGACAAATTTCCACAATAAATACATATACACAAATATTTGACAGAAAAAAATGCAAACACAGAAGGGTAAAATACACTTAATTACATATCAAGAATAAAAATGTAGTTGATACACCACTGATCACAATCATTGTGATATTTAAGACACTTAAATACATAAGTGTTATACGACACTTAAATAAGTATGTGCTATACCATCTGAAACAGCTTTTGAACTGCTTTTATCTGCTTTAGAAGCTGAGAGTCCAAGCAATGAGTCTAGGTCCAGTTTGCTAAATAATAAAAAGTCTTGACTACACATGCTAATTCTAACATTCCAATGACATTAATCAAGTCATCAGCAGGCCTGTATATTTGGAAAGCATTTTTTTAATTCAGCCTGGCAACAGAGTGTATGTTGTAGCCAACCACAAACTTCATTGCAAGTGTAAAACTGGGCTCAAAATCTCTTTCCTGCTTACATAAAATGGCAGTAACACCAATATCTACAGCTTCCCAGGAAATGCTAAGTTGTTCAGAAGCTTCTGACAGAGCAACACAGACACCCAAACCTAGCAACTGGCAACTGACAATTTCTACAATTCACTTTATGGTTTGTTTTCTTTTTATTCTTACATTTTCATATACATGTTTTCACATATAAGTAAGTGAAGCACAGTGTCATTTGCGCCGTGAATATATGCATCAACACTATCCACAGGTGATGCATTGGAGACTGACAACAATTCGCATTTCTGTACCTTCCTTTTTGTGCTGAAACTCCCTAAAACCCTTTGCAAAGCAATAAATATCATACCCAAGGAGAACTAGTGATAGGTCATCAATACAGTAGTGACTTTCTGTACCCAGGCTTAGCAGCCATTCTAAGTACAGCAATACTTCTGAAATATGAGTGCCAATTAATCTGAAATAGTTCTGCCTGTGAGGGATCTTTTATATAATCACCTGCACTACTACAGATTGCATCTGCAGTTCTTTGATACCACTGCAGAAGGACAGCAATTTCATTAAAACGGTATTTGCACTCTGTTGAAAGGCCAGTAGGTTTCTTCAAGTTCCCCATATGTCTTAAATGTGTGATCTTATGCTAAGCCCTGCCTACCCGAGTAAACTGCCAAATCCATACACAGGATAAACAAAAATATTTATAAAGTAACTGTGGCAGCACTGGTAATGGTAGCAAAGACAGCACAGAAGAGAAAGTTGAACCTATCTTTCCATGCTTACTACTGCTCACCACAGATGAACAGCCCTCTGCATTTATTAAAGAGAACAGTTAGCTGACCTTCAGGAGCTGAAATTCAGATACCTACTTATAGCCGCTCCTCCATGCTCCCTGCTACTCTCTTAGCTTCACACATTTATGAGTTCAGTGGTTTGGAGTACACTTCTGTGGGCTTTCTGATCTGGAACCACCCCTCCAGCAGCGCATTCACCTGCACACATGCGCAGCAGCCCACGGAGCAGCAGCAGCCCTGTAGCTATCCTCCAGGGGTCACAATTGGGTTACAAATTCTGTAAAATGTGATGACTGTGCAACTTCATTTAGAGCAATTTATTCACATCCTTCTTCATTAAGATTCAAATGGAATAAGTAAGATAGAAATTGAACAGATACAGAAATTGTGCGTGGCTTGCTTCTGTAGTCAGTAAACATTTATTCACTAGGCACAGCTCTCTCTCGTGCTCTCTCTCTCGTATTCTCTCTCTTCCCCCATCCTTCCTGCTTGCTGTTTTAATGCATAATTAAGAAGGTCAGAATTAATGAAGCAGTGTGGAGTAAAGTTCAAGGAATCCCCAGGCACTATTTATTCTATTAGATCTCAGGCATGAATGTCAGATTGGCAGCATTAGAGGCAGAGGCAGTGTTGCTGGCAGCAGTCCAGAAGCGAAGCTACCAAGGGAGACTTACCTGCAGTGTCAAGTCATTGCTGAGCTCCCTCCCTGCAAAAATCACCCGCAGCTGGTCAGCTGGAACTCCCTGTCGCTGGGCAACCGCCTCCTTCAGCTGGAGGATGCTGGCGTCTGAACCAACCTCCACCGGGAAGCCATGGCTGGAGTTGAACCTGACAAACACTGAACAAGAGCAAAATACCTTTTAAAGCGAGCATTTCTCATGAGGTGTTTGTACTAGAGTGACTACGAGAGGCTTACTCTTCAATTTCAGGGAGCATGTACTATTTTCAGAGAAAAGCTATTAATACTGCAGTGTACCATTTTGAAACCCATCACAGAATAGTTAGTGACCAATAAACAAACCCCATGTGTTTCCCCTTGGCAGAATCAGAAATTACAGAGAACAGTCAGAATCAAAAAAGACCCAGCTGTCTAAGTAGTCCCTAATTGGCACAATAGATTTTCAGTTCAGTCCTAACCTTAGCAGGCACAGGGCACACAGCTTTCTGTGCCCTTGTGCTCTTCCCCACTGCCTATAACAAATAAATGCAGGAAACTGAGGTATGCTTTAGAGCCAAAATGCATTAAATAATACAAGGGAAAACAATGCCTTGTTACACAGTAAAGCACAGTCATATAAACTGGTTTCCCACAGATATAATTCTACAGAAGATAAAGATAAGAGAGAAAATCACAGGCTAGCAGAAATGTTTGGGAGCGTTGTATTAGAGCGTGGTCTTTTCAGAGTTCACTAAAATATCTGCAGTACATAACTCCTGCCGGCATCCACCCTCAGTGCAGAAAATCACTACTGCACCAGTCATATCATTTTGAGAGCTGCAGCAACTAGTTTATACATCCAGAGAAGTCTGGCAAATAAACTCATAAGCTTCCTGCTATTCAGCTGGCAGAGCTGTTTTTCATAAGGAGTCTGAATGTGCTCATTGAGCCCATGGTCAGGGCAATGACTACAAGAACTACGTAACAGGAAAAAACCTCATTACATCCATATCAGTCACGGAGATTGTATGAACGGTAGACACGTCCCCAGTGGACCACTTCAACCAATAGCTCTGCAAGCAGGAAGCAAAGGAATTAGCAAAACCCAGTATAAAACAAAAAATGATTTATATCAATTAGATGGTGGGTACCTGTGACGTAAACTGCTTGGGTATTGACTGTAACAACCAGTCTTCTTCAAGATTTATTTCACATTCTCACTGCAATGTTTTAGCTGAAGATGTTATTCCTTTGCATTTTTCATGAATGACAGAAGCATAAGCTCAAAAGTATTTATATAGTTCAAAGAAATAACAACTTTTAAAATTGAAAACTGGATCTTTATGACTTTGCAAACACATAAAGTCTACCTGACCACTTCAAAGTTGCCAGATTCTTTAAGAGCATTGAATATGGCTGAGAACGCTGCCATTGTTTTGTTGAGCAATGACTTGTAAATATCTGCAATTTCACATCTTCAGTTCAGATTTGGTTAATCTTTAAGGGACAAGGCCATACACCAATAAAATTTTACACAACACTTCAAGTTTTGCACTTGAGATTACCCTCTTAATGTACTAAAATGCAGGGTAGGATTGTATAATGCTGTGGCAAGGCAGGGTGCAGCACATATGCCCTGCAGTGTGTTACACAGTCTCCTGTAGTACATCTCGTTACTGGCTTTGATTTCTATTTAAAGGTGTTCTGGAAATAACTAAACTGTGCAAGCTGTATATTCAGACTGTTCAGAAAAATCAGTGGAATTTGAATTTTATTTTGATTGTGGCTTGGAGAAAAAAGGAGGACTTATACGACAAAAAGTAGTTCAGCTAATGGGAACTGAACATCTCTCATCTTTCCAGAACACTCATAATGCTCAACTGCACATAACTTTATCTGGGCCAGTAGCAAAATATATAGTTAAATCAATGGGGAATATACTTTTTTAATATGCTAAGCTCTGACTATCTGACTATGTGCATATATTTTTTATATATTTATATAGGTATGCTCGCATACACACATAAAATGCATACATGTGCATCTCCAAAGAATTCTGCCTAACTAATAGATAATCCTCTTTGTCTTTAGTCTTATAAAAGCCAGTGCTATTGGTTTTGGAAATAAAAAAAAGTTAGCAAGTGCATTGACTCTGCAAATCAAATGTGCTGGTAAGAGGAAAACGCTTGATGAAAGAAGTATAAAGAAGTGGAGTGTCATTTAAAGTAATTATAAAGCAGTACTCATTTTTAAAGACAATATAAATACAACACACTTATTGCAAGCATAATTCATGTTCATCATCAACAACCCCCACCCTTTCTCTCAAATAAGTTTATTTTTGTTCACTTCCAACAGGTATAGTCTCCTCCTTCTGACATGTACAAGGCAGCAGAAGCTTCAGTCTCACAACTGTAACCACAAGCAAACGTAGGAAACAGGCGTGTGAGTGCAACATTCTGCACTCCACAGCAAAGACTCCAACTACTCTCTTAAAGCCTGAAGAGCTAACTCAGAAAAATGCTAGAATGCCAAACTTGGCTTGCTGGAAAGTTCTAATCCACAAATACTTTACCCTGCAATATGTTTATTCCATTAAAAAGTCTGCAACCCACCAACTCTTTTTAATGTAAAAGAACAGAAGAGACCTTTGCTTACTTGCACAGAGCATAAAAAGATTAAATACAAAACTTCAGTCTGCGGAATAAAGCCAGAATTTCATCAATATGATATTTCAAGCTGTCTTTTTAGGAAAAAAAACCCCTTATTATTTTCTTTTTGACATTTCAACACATTAAATCACCACTATCAACCTGACACTCTTAACGCCACACGTTATTCATGAGATCACAGGTGAAGTTATGCAGACATTCGAGACTGCTTCCATCCAAAGAACACATACTTTGAAAAGACTTGGAATTTTGTCTACTGGAAGTTAAATAAATATTGGCTTTACAGAAGATTAGAGAATTTACCTGAGGCCTAAACTGCTGATGGAAATCCAAAAGAAATAAATCAAGTTACTAAAGTTAAGAAGTAGCCAAACTAAGCTGAAGAAAGGAGGCTCCAGTTGGATCAGCTCTCCTAGTCTCACATCTGTAAGAGGTGACTAACAGTAAAACTTGTCTGATAAAAGGAAGCTCTGTGAGACTTGACTGTCATGTAAAAGATAATCTCTGTAAATATCACAAGGATCTGATTCCCAGAGGGATCAAGAGGTACCTAGGTGCTTTTTTACCTCTCTCTCAGTATCTATCTGAATCTCTAAATCTATCTAAAGCATACATGTTCATGCAATAATTTCACTTTTACATGTAATGAGTTGTTTAGTATTAGTCTTGTTTGGAAGGATCAGCAAGTGCTACATAAAGGAACAGATATAGAGAAAGTAACTTTTACATATTTCCAGACAAATTTCCCACGTTTCCTACAAAACCACACATATTTTCAAGCATGTACCTACACAGTAAGAAATTTTTTCGTCCAGCATAATGACTCAAGTGGTGGAAACTGGATTCTTCAAAGACCACAGGCTTACTTCTTTGGCATGCCACTGCTGTGAGTATGGCAGAGGGAAAGTTCTCAGTTCTGGGGGTAAGGGCAGGAATTGCATTTGTACAGAGCAATGTGTTTCATCCTAGACACTGGTACTACAAAATTAGAATACACAGGGTTGCAGGGTACATGAAATGTATTCAGGTGCAAAGAAGCTGTAAGAGACTACATACAGAAACGATGGTCTAGCATGCAGTAGTAGGTTAAAGCTGGCTAAGCAGAATGTAACAAGTCTTCACAGACAGAGGCTAGCAATTCAGGGAAGCAGAAGTGAGAAGTGAAAATGCACCCCTCCGCCTCTCCCTGCCACCCCAACTGGACCAGAGAGTGAAGGCGCGCACAGAAGTAAACACTGAGTAGAATTAAAATCTTGGTTCCCAGTTGCAGGAAGTTTCACTATGTTGATATTGGTTTTCATCTCAAATACATCAAAAATTCAATGTATTGACTTTTTATATTCTTTTTGTTGAACAAGAAGTAACATGTAAGTATTAAAATATTTTCATTCCACGGTACTTCATGGAAATAAATACTTCTTTATTCCTCCAATCCTGTTGATTGGACCTCTCTGTTTGGATTCTCTCTCTCAGAATGAAGCACCAACACAAATCCCAGAAAGAAGTGGGTGCTGTGGTCATGAGGACATGCTGGTGTATCATGATGGAGGCAGCCCAGCATTTATTTTGATTAAAAGTTCCCAAGGAACTCAACTTCTTGGCTTTTAGCTGATTTGTATTCAAGTGACTGTAATAAAATTAAGAAGTTATCACCTCTGAAGCAACTTGTATTAATAAATTTATGTACAATGAGCCATTTCGTTCATATGAATACAATACGGAAATGCACCAGTTCCCAAATAAAGTATTGCTATCCTGAAGATTTTGTGTTTCACAAACAGTATGACACATCATTGCACCCACTATTAAAACGGAGTCAGCAGCACAATTCAATCACTTAGGATAAAATATGATGAATAACTTTTCCCCATGAGGTAATACAAGAATTGTTAGTGCAGGGAATACAAGTAAGTGAAAAAGATTGTAACTAAAATCTTGGCTAGTTAAAGACAATACTGCCACTGGCCATCTGTCCATCCCTTACGCTGAAGGTTGCTACACATACAACTGGGATACTGAAAGAAATGTGTACCTGCATCTCAGCTGTGCCTGTTTGCAATTCAGCATGTTAGTACAAACTCAACTGGAAATTGAAGAAAATGCAGATATAAACTGGTTAAACTCAGACACAGGTATGTGGGGCAGGTGTGTAGGGGAGCTGCAGAATATCAAGTGAAGGCTGAGAGAAAGCTGGTGGGCAGACACCCCTGCCAGGATCTCACCAGGCCATTTCTCAGGGCCCTGGGACTCAGCAGCCTTTCTTCTTCAGCAAGTCATACTAAAAGTGCCAAAGCTTTAAGCCCCATTGTCATCAATCCTACAGGTTTTCCAGTTCTGAATCAAGAAGATAAATATTGCATGTGGAGAAGCTTCGGCCCTGCTTGTGAACAAACTGTGAAGGTACAGTTCCGATACACAGAACCAAAACGACTGAACTGTGCCAAGAATGAAAAAAAGTTGTAGATGTTTTTACACTGCTACATGCAAAACACAATTTATTTATTTTTTTTAGTTTTGACATCAAATAGGCAATTCTTTTTCTTCCTAAAGTAGTGAATCACACAATCCTGCTTCACTGCACATCAAACAAAAGCTATAACCTACAATATGTGGCAATAGATCAGTGGCACCTATTTAAACTTTGAGATCTTATGGCTAAGCAATTATATTGTGTCCATGATAACTATGACAAGTAGTCAAGTAGTCTTTATTCCCCATTCTTCTGAGGGACAAAAGAATAAAGCCAAGGTTTAACCTACGGACGGTGTGAAACGTGAAACTTTTTTTATTTTTAAAAGCACTTAAATATATATATATATTTATATTTATATATATAAAGCACCTATCACCATATTGATAAACATTCTTTGGAACCACTCTGACGGCAGAGGTTTTTAGGAGGCTTTAAGAGCCCTTTCCCTGCTGAGGTCAGATGACAAGACCTTTGGAATATATTTCCCTAAGACTGGGAAAAAAAGTCTTGTGACAGTATCTGTCTGTGGTGATCAGTTCCTCTTTGGTTCAGCACAAGACTTGAAAACACAGCACTTCTTATCTCAAAAACCTACATCTAGACCATTTCACGCTAGAAAGTATTATCCCTTCCTTTTTAATATTAAATCCTTCTCATAAATGGTGATTAATAATTTATC